AATGACCGCCAGGGGGCAGAAACTCAATACACAGGCATGGAAACATGGAACAGACTGATGAATCTCAAAGGGAAGGGGGGAAGGGGAAGGACAGGAAGAGATTAACCAAAGATCTTATATGCATACTAGAGGCCCGGTGCACAGATTCATGCACCAGTAGGGTCCCTTGGCCTGGCCTGTGGGATGGAGCCTAAACCAGCTCTCCGACATCCCCTGAGTGGTCCCGGATTGTGAGAGGGTGGTTCTCGGGTGACACAGCCCGGAATCAGGCTCCCTCCTCTCTAGTTTCGGGTGCGTCCCTGAGAACTGCAGCTGCCAAGTCACCACAGCTTGACAGCTCCTGCATTGAGCATCGGCCAGACCCCAGCAGCAAGCTAACCTACCAGTCGGAGCATCTGCCCCTTGGTGGTCACTGCACGTCATAGAGACTGGTTGAACAGCCTTAGCATATCATTAGCATATTACACTTTCATTGGTTGTTTGGTTTTTCTGCCATTTGGTCCATTTGCATATTACCCTTTTATTATATAGGATGCCATGGAAATGTTTTAAAAATAAGTGTAAAAGCCAAACTGGTGACAAAACCTCCATCATTTCATGCTTCTGATAATACTCCAAGGAAGGGAATGTTCCCCACTTAACCTCCCCAGGAGAATATATAACCTCCACCCTCAAGTCACTCATTTCCAACTGAACTCATACAATCTTTGATACAAATTTTAAAAGTAAAAAATGGCCAATATCTATAATAATAAAAGTGTAACATGCTAATTAGACTGGACAGCCAAACAATCTTCTGGACATCATTCTGGACAAAAAAGTGTAACATGCTAATTAGACTGGACTGGTTAGGGGCGATCAGGCAGGCAGGTGAATGGTTAGGGGCGATCAGGCAGCCAGGCGAGTGGTTAGGGGTGATCAGGCAGGCAGAGAGGTTAGGGGCAATCAGGCAGGCAGGCAGAGTGGTTAGGGGCAGTCAGGCAAGCAGTTAGGAGCCAGCGGTCCCGGATTGTGAGAGGGATTCCGGATTGCGAGAGGATGCAGGCTGGGGTGAGGACAACTCCACCCCCCACCCCCGTGCACGAATTTCATGCACCGGGCCTCTCGTAAACTAATAATGAATGAGAAAGATGTAGATGGGGAAGAAAACTACCATAATATGGAAAGATTTCAGAAAAAGAAGAGTAGCTTTGCAGGACAGGGGTGGGAGCTGGGGAAAGCAGAGCAGGTCTGCTGGTGGAGAGCAAGCCTCTGGGGTGGGGGGATGGCAGGGAGAAGCTATGAAAGACTGATTTCAGCTGCATCAACTTCACATCTTTATGTAAGGTTAATCCTGACCTTACAAGTATCAAGAGAACTACAGAAGAAATATTCTAGATAAGCTGCTTTTAGAACTTCTAAAAGTGTAGTCTGCAGCTGGACAGATCTAGTTTGAAATCTGGCTCTTTCATCCATTTATCTATTTATTTGTGTGGCTCCAAATAAATCACTTAATCTCTGATTTTTGCTTCCTCTGTTCAACAGGGCTAAATACCACTAGCACATCATCCAAAAGAAATGATAAGGGCAGTACCAGATGCTGATGGCTGACGATGAATACTACCATTGGGCTATTGCTAGCTAACATTTAGGGCACACTGGCCAAATATCAAGTCCACTTTAAGCACTATACATAAACATATACATACACTTCTACATTTAATCCTATAATGTATCTTATCCCCATTTTACAGAAGAAACTGAGACCCAGAGAGAATCAAAACCAGCTCAAGGACACATGGGAAATGGTAAGTCCTGGATTCAAATCCTAGGAATGTATTTATACAGATCATACGTTATACCACATATAACCAGCACACAGAAATCAGTCCATAAATGTTATTATTCTCACTACTATATCAAACAATCACAAAATGTAAAACTAGTATGGACTTTTATGTAAAGCCATCAGATGGAAACCCCCTCTCAACTTCCTGCTTCCAAAGCTACAAATCAGCTTTGATCTGCCTCATCCTCTTCTTCCTCTCTCCTGTTAGATTAAAGGAGCTCATCTAAGACCAACCTCTCATCTGAGCCTACATGTTATAGTCCATCCTCTATAATCCATCCTCTAGGCCTCCTTAGCAACCTTATCAGAGACTGCTCCCTCTCCTGCAGCTTTAATCTCTCCCACTGCACTGGAGCCTTCCTGGTAGCATTTAAACGTCCTCAAGTATTTCCACTTTTTTTTTTAAGTATTTCCACTTCAAAAAAAAAAATCCCTCTCTCCCTCCACTCCACAGTCCTCTCCAGGGACTGCCCTCTGATATAACATCATTAATCTTTTCGTAAGAGTTGTCCATACTCACTCTCTCCATAGAGACTCCTCTACTCCGTCTCTAATGGACCCCTGCCACTACCTCTTCTTAAACAGCGTTCTCCCTAGGTTTCCCAGAGAACTCCTATGCCTTCATGACTCTTGTAATCATTCTTGGACTCTCAGGATCATCGAACAGTAATGACCGTGCCCCCTCCTTCTTGAAACACATGTTTCCCTTAGCTTCAGTGGCATAATTTACTCTGGCTTTCTTTCTAGATCACAGAAAATTTCTGTCTCTTTTTCTGTTTCACCCTTCTCTGCATGGCTATTAAATGGCTGCCTTCTAATTCTGAACTCTCTCTATAGAGTCATCCATTATCATGGCTCCAATTCTTACATACATGACAATAGCTTCCAAACTTCTCTAAGCACAAACCTCTCTTTTTATATCCAACTGCCTCCTAGACATCTCTGTGTAGCTACCTCAAAGGCACCTCAAGTCAACTTGTTCAAGATGAAACTTGATCTTCCCCTCTGTGCCTGCCCCCACTGTGTATCTGGCTCCTTTCGAGTGTCCCCTACCATTAGTGAGTGGCTGGACCAATCATCATGTTCTCAATTTCTATTCAGAAATCTTTCTTGATTCCTTTACTCTCTCATCACCTCCCAAACCCAATCCTTGATCAAATCTGATCCATTTTACAGACTAAATTTCTCTTGACTTCTTCAGTCAGAGCCTCTGCTCTGTCCTCTGTTTCCTTCTGTCTGATTTGCTCTGTTCCTCACCCCAATCCCTTTACTGAATGACCTTCTACTTATCCTTTATATTAGCTCGAGTGTTACCTTCTCACAGAAGAGCCTCAGCCTAGGCTGAGTCTCATAAAGCACCGTTCCTTTCATTCTGAACACTATCCAAACTCGTAATCGTACTTTCATTAGTGTGATTACTTAAGACCTTCACTTAGTGTACAGTGCATTTCTCCAATACTGTAAATACTCAATAAACACTCAATAAATACACACTGCTGAATTGATCTAATTCAATTTCCACATGAAAATACTAGGGTCCAAAGAGATAGCAAAGGTCTTAAGATTGAGTCCTGCACTTTCTGATTTCCAATAAAATAAGTTTTCTACCACACCAATGTCTTCCACAGACCATATCTCAGAAAACTGATATTATTACGTACTAGAGGCCCAGTTCATGAATTCGTGCATGGCTGGGGTCCCAAGGGGCAGGGGGGTGGGGAGGGGAGGAACCAGGACACGATCAACCCTCCAAGTGAGCGGTGGGACACCCTTGCAGGCCCTGGATCTGGATCCACCCCGGTGACATTCGTGCTGGTTATCTGGAGCCTCCTGGTGGCTGCTTTTATATTGTTTCTTCCTTGCACAGCGTCTAGGGAGGGGAAGTGGCCTTGGCTTCCAAGGGCTTCCAAGAGGCTGGCTGTGCTGTCAGAATCGTGTGGGCGGCACTGGTCCATCAGTACCTGGCCCGTTCTCCAGAGATTGGACCTGCAGGACTACTGAGGAAGTGAGTGGCTGCCGCTGGGCTGGTGGCTCACCTGGATGGGTCGGTCAGCTCTGAGTGGCACTCCTGCTGTGGGAGCACTCTGACCATTGCTCCTGCATTGAACATCTGCCCCCTGGTGGTCACTGCACACCATGGCGGTTGCTTAGGCTTTTATATATATAGATATATATTATCTTTTGGGTGAAGTGATATTTCTGTACCAACAGAACTGGCACTGAGCAATAAAAACTCAATTTATTTGTAAATGTATCTTCTCTCCTCAGTCTCATACAGATACAAATAGTTAACTCTTTAAAAAATGCTGTTCTGCTCTTTAGCTTTCAGAAATCTCTAAGAAACAATTTTGATGGCTATAAAACTTTTAGGACTACACAGAGAATACATGGGTCAGGAATAAACATCTGTAAGAGACTTTATGGAGAGCATTTTTTATTAGAACTCTGGTGTGCCTATGGTGTGCTGTAAATACCATACCATTCCCACCCAAAGGGCCTACATTCCCTGAATAAAGAGCCGGTGCAGGGTCATCTTAGATTTTCTCCAAATGGCTGTCTAATGAGCCTTCCGATAAAAGGAAGCTGGAGGTAGACCTCTGATTTCCCAGAGGGTGGACCACTGGCATTCTGAGAACTACACATATATTTCTGTTTATAAATTGAGCTTTTCTTATTTTGCTCTATTTCAAAACTCAGAGTGATCAGAAAAAGTTATGTAACCTGAAGTTTACATCTACAGAAATAATTGGTTCTTGAATAAATTTAAAGGGATATGGAAGACAAAGTGAAGTTGCTTTGTGATTGAGTCTGAGCATTCCTATTTAACATATTGATTCAATTAAGTACAATTAAAACTTTCTTAGAGTCTCACAGTCAGTTGGCCTGGAGGTCAAATCCCCCTAGCATTAACTACAATAATCAAGGTTTAACAAGACTGCGCACAAAGACCACTAGGGGGTGCACCAAGAAAGCATAACAAATGTGGAGACAAAGAAACAGGACAAAACTGTCAATGGAGGATATTCAGTTCAGAACCACACTTTTAAGGTCTCTCAAGAACTGTCTAGAAGCCACCAATAACTTTATTGAGATCCTCAACAAATCTAATGAGACCCTCAATGTTATGATAAAGAACCAACTAGAAATTAAGCATACACGGACTGAAATAAAGAATATTATACAGACTCCCAACAGCAGACCAGAGGCACT